CTGTTTGTCTCTGTTAGTCTGCTCACATCGACTGTTCCAGCTGGAGTGATTCTTGATTCCTGGACTGCTAGTAGTCGACTGTCGTAACCCAAAGGGCGCCAAGTCGTCCCTGGGAAATGGCTCCCAGTTCTCCAACCAAGTACGGAGCTCTCGGTTTTTGTACATCTCTATTTTTTCCTGTTTGTCTCTGTTAGTCTGCTCACATCGACTGTTCAAGCTAGAGTGATTCTTGGTTCCTGGCCTGCTCCTTTTATACCTGAGATCCGTATCCCCTCTCCTCGGTTTCGGTATTGCTGGTTTTAATGACGTGGATATGTACCATCCATCCATAGAGATTGTTATTTTATTTCGGCCTAACTGAAACGGACAAAAGAAACCTAAAAAAAGGCATAGTGTGATTGAATACTTTCGACCGTAATGGCCGTTTCCTCCGACGTGGTTCAATTCAAAGTTCTAATGAACTGCGTTCAACTTTGATCGCAGTTTAAACTTCGGTCAACTTATTTTGCTTTCCTTCAACTGTACATTCGTTCCGATTAACTGAACGTATATCTCATGCATGCTAATTCAAACTATTTTTGTATCAAACGATGTGATTGGTACATAATTCGTAAGTGCATGTCATAACTATACTTTTTACGTCTATGATGAATGTAAAATGTAAAATTTTGTTTTATAAAAAATATAATTTTAGTAAAAATATACAAATGGGGCAAGTACAGCACAAAAAAGAAAGAACAAAAAATTTTACAGAGTCAGAGAAAATGCTTCTCATCGAATTAGTGCGGGATAGGTGTAAAATATTAGAAAATAAAACAACAAATAGTGTTTCTATAAAAGAAAAAGAAGATTGTTGGAAGGATTTGCAAAGCAATTTCATGTTCCGTTCCAGAGGAACTGTACGAACTGTACATTCTCTAAAAACATGCTGAGAAAATATCAAGAAAAGGACCAAGAAACAATACGCTGAGGAAAAACATTTTTTTTTGTTCTACCTGAAACGGACAAAAGAAACCTAAGAAAGAACATAGTGTGACTGAATACTTTCGGTCGTAAATTAGATAACAGATAACAGATTCCAAATAAATTGCAACAGATAACTAATTTTTTACTGTCTCGATGAGTTGTGCGCGCTTTCACATTTTCAGCTATATCTTCCTCAAATTTTCGAATATTTTAATGCGCTTTTAACTATAGATTTTTGAAACTACGTACAATTTAATATAACGCCCCCAGAACACTTAAAGGAATTAGACTCACACACATACACACACACACACACCTGTAAATTAGGGACACATAAAATAAATGTTTGTATAAAAGGTTTGTACAAATAGGTTTGTATAAATGTTTGTACAAAGAGTCATTTCCTATATCACTCCTTTCCCGCGAGCGAAAGATCACACATAGAAATAATAAATAAATTTTTTATTAGTTTATATTAAATTGTACGTAGTTTCAAAAATCTATAGTTAAAAGCGCATTAAAATATTCGAAAATTTGAGGAAGATATAGCTGAAAATGTGAAAGCGCGCACAACTCATCGAGACAGTAAAAAATTAGTTATCTGTTGCAATTTATTTGGAATCTGTTATCTGTTATCTAATTTACGACCGAAAGTATTCAGTCACACTATGTTCTTTCTTAGGTTTCTTTTGTCCGTTTCAGGTAGAACAAAAAAAATAACAGTCCGGGATAAGTCGTCAAATATTCGAAAAATATTGTAAAAATTTTTTATTAGTTTATATTGCTATGTATGCTTGTAAATATTTCTTTGATGTGGGTGCCACACATTAACATATTTATTTATATATAAATCTAAATTCTCTTTATTTAAACCAAATATTGTTTACTTAAATCAGCTAAATAATATTTGATTTAAATAAAGAGAATGTAGATTTAAATAAATATGTTAATAGTATCCATAAAAAAAATATTTGATATATTAATTTTAAGATAATTTTTCCCTCAGTGTAGAGTATAGAAATCGTCAAAACGGTTACCTATTTACAGTTATTTCGACACAAAGAACGATTATTCCATGTATTCTTTCATGTACTTTTCTCTCTCACACGTAACTTTGACACATTTCGGTGCCAGCAGTTTTCTTCTATATATATATGACTAACCAACCGAGAAGGTCAGATTAAATATTTTTCTTACAATTGCTTGAATTCACTATTATCCAAAAGTATTTTAAATATTTAAATACATGGAACCTTGGAACCCTAACTTTCTCAATCTTTGAGCTTTTAACGAGATTTTAATGACTAAAAATGTCCAACATTTTTAGCACGTTTGTGTTATTTTATGCAGTAGTGAAATTTGTTTCTTTCATTGCTATCCGTATAACAGTTGACTATTCAATTCCTAAATAGCACAGAGCATTCAAAAAGAATTCAGTCATATGTGACCAATTCTTTTTAAATATTTTTTTAATTCTCTGAACTATCTAGGTTTTATTAATTGCTATATTGTGGAGTACAACCGATAGGCAACCCATGCAGCACAAATGTTCAATAGATATTCTAAGAACATTCTAAGAATATTCGGGTATTCTTAGAATATCTTTAGATATTCTTAGGATATCCAGTGCTATATAGGAATAGGCTTAAGATTGAAATATAGAAAATCCAAACTTTTCCTTGGACTAGGCTCGAAAATTTCACTTAACAAATAGAGTAGAGTAGGATTTAATTGAACAATCAGGATAAAGAGAACTAAAATTTCTTTATCATTATTGCTTAATTAAATGCTATTCTATATCAAGTATAGTTTACGAACGCAATCCTAAATAAAAAAATCCGCCGTAGCGCGCTATTAGTTTAAACTAATAACTAAATTTGATGCCTAAATTAATGACGAAATTTAGTCATTCAGTATGTTCAGACATGTTATTATATTAACTGGAAGGCAAGAGTTTTTACTCTTTTGCGTGAAAAATGAGTCATATTGAACTGAAGATTAAAAAAATTATTTTCATAAAAGTAACGTTAACGGTACAATGGGATCACTGTGACCCCAAACGAAAAACAAATGCATATAATTCACAGCTACTTACAAATAACTCGATAATCTTTTCTTCTGTCGCACTGAAAATTATTATTCGAAAGGTACTGAAGATATTAGCGCCATACAGTGGGTAGTTTAGGAATTATCATGAAAATAACATTAGTTGGGGTCCCTGGGACTCTATGGTACTTGTTACGGGTTAATGGAATATTATATTCTAGCACTTCTTAGACTTTGGACACACTTCTGTGACATTATACAATTATCGAATATCATTTTTATCGTTACCCTAGCTAACACTAGATGTCGACGTATCGCGTATCGTGCGGTCGATAAACCAGAGTCGGACTTTATTAATGTGATATACACGTGCTCAAATCATGTTTATTTTATATTTAGCACATATTCTGCTATTATAACTAGTAGTTCTTTAAAATTCTTTAAAGCACGCAAAAAATTAAGAACATCAGACAAAAATCCGATAAAAATCATAATCAAATACACATGGTAACAATTACTTCTCGATAAATATGATTTCTTTTTTAGCACACCATATCTGTCAAGAAGTAAAATGACTGATAACAATGATAGCAAACAACATTTTGTAATATCTAACAACCGTTTGTTTAATCACTTATCATTTTTGCTCATATTATAAACAGTACTGACATTTATCTTTCATATTTTATCTTTCAAATTTTTTAATTTTCCTGATTGTTACTATATAATAATATTTCTTTATTTAATTTACTATAATAGTAACAGAAATTTAATAAATAGAAATAAGAAATTTAATAAATAGATAAAATTTAAATACAAAGCAAAACAATACATATGATTTTTATAATTTATTACTAATTATGTAAATTTTACTAGAAACACAAATTAAAATGAATATCTTTAATAACCTTATTATATCACAAATTATTGAAAATTGATTATCTTACGATTTAAAATAGAATTATATATGTTGTAATTCATCTACTTTTGTAGCAACTATATGTTTGAATCCTAACTGATGAAGAATAATGATAAGAAAGCTGTACTTTACACCATGCCAATGAAAGTCACGCGCGCGAAGTCAAACATTATATTCCAAATTCTTCTTATGAAACCCGACTTTTTTATAAAAATTCCATCAGAGCTAAAATTGATTTCACAGATCATTTAAAGATATTCTATATTTGATTGTCGCCACTATCAGTATCGACGAACACGTCAGTGACGGGAAGTAGTAGTTAAACTGCATACACTAGGATACGGATAAACAGTCTTTCGTGAACGTGCTAGGCGACAGCAACACGATAGCGGCTCGCCGGCGCAGCTGCCGAGAGCGTCGTATTCGTTGACGCAACATCGATCGCGCACCTACCACCACAGGCCATAACCTCTGCATTTCTCGACGAGTTTCACCGCGACCCTGCGGAGTTTCGCCCTTCTGAAAACTTGCGCGAGACACGCTGGCCTAAAAGCTGGCCTTGTTAATCTCAAAATTCCGTGCAGTATAGTCTTGCGATCTTCAGTATGTGCTCGACAAAGCGAAGACCTTGAAGAGCGCCAATATTCCGAGTAACCTCACGAACGAGAAGGTAGTGCAGACACCACAGTTCCACCAGGGTGAAAATTCTGCGAGACGCCGCCCGATGCACCGTCAAGTGCGTTTTATCAGTGATTCTTACAATTTGTACGATTAAGATAGTGTTTTATTTCTCGAGCGACGTTAAGAGAGACGAGACCTACCTTCGATATATGTTTTACAACAATGCGCGTAGTAAAAATAAACACGAGCGTATAACTTGGATTGTTGCACGCTACGTTACGAACGTTACAAACGTTATCGAAATATTCCTCATCGATTTTTGCTTTTGATGCATGAAGAGCGGAAAATTATACGTGCGAGAACAAAAAATATAAATAAGTATTATTTAATCGGGGGACTTTCTCATGGGAAATTGTCCACTTCCACCTCGTGGCCTTGCACTGTATCGTATACATTACTCTTTTAAGTAGACACGCCCGTTCGTATACTCATTAGTATGACGTGTCGTTTGTGTTCTTATCAGTGCCATTATGTCATTTACATAAGCGCATTCTCATGCAAGTGGATTCTCGATATACTTCGACGAATTTTAATGAATATGAATGCGTCATATAATTAACTAAACAAATCACTGAATATACAAAATATTATTAGACTCCTTTTATATCTATGTGTGAATAACTAGAGTAATATTTCATTAGTCACAATTTAATGATAACCTCACTTTTTTTCTTTGCAATTTTTGACGTTTCAACATGAGAAATTCTGATAATCAAGTTTTAATTTAAATTTCTATGAAAGTATACTTGAATAAATTTCTCAGAGAATAAATTTTTTTTTCGTAACCTATTTGTATCATTAAAACCTATTTACCAAAATTATGTTCATTAATTCTTTGTAATGTAACATTTAGAATATGTATTCGTTCCTTTTTCTAAATCGTACATGATAATTTTATCCGATGTCATACGTGTCTGTATGTGTGTACGATCAAAATAAATTACACAAAAAAAATATCCTTTATAGAGTCATTGTCAACGTGAGCACGATTCGCGATTTACTGCGCAGATAATATTAATTACAGCGTTGCGTAAGGCAAAGTGTCATTCATGTTGCGAGAATGCAAAAACAATTATTTTTCTTTGCAGAACTGCTCTAAGGGACATTGATGGCAGTTAAGTTACGGCACTGTTGGACCGGACGTCGTGGAGGTTGATCCTCAACAAGTAGAGGATCGAGAGATCTATGAATAGTCATCAAGGAGCATGAATGATCGTGACTCGTCGGCGACTGCATCGGCGCGAAACTCTTCCCGATAGCGGCGTCGATCGCAGACGTCGGCGACTGACGTCATCATCATTCACTTTATCGTCGACAACGAGCACACATCGAAATCATGGAGAAGCAAGAATTTGTGGCGAATCTACATTATTTACCGATCGCCATCTTCGTCTCTCTGCCTACAGTCCTCATTATTACGTAATTTTAACCGCATTCCCAGTCGTTAAGTCATTTTAGGCGTATCTGTTAATAGCTTTGATACGATTACCGCATCTATTTTGCCAGTGAAAATCAACAAAATTTTATGAAATTACTTTGCAATCTGCAGGTACGTAATGGCGGTCTTACTAGGACACGTGGAAGCTGGTTTTCCCTACATCTCCACAGCAGCAACTACCGCGCCAGAGAGCTGCATTTTCTCTCAAGCCGTCAATGTGATCGCTGTGCTCAGTACGTACATAAATCTTGCATAAATAATAACATAATATCGGCGATGCGCAATGGAGTATATATATTTTACGCCACGTCGATAATCTTTGTCAATATTACCAAGCATGTGCGAACATTTGTCCAATATTGATCAATCTAAAACCTTTCTATTATCGTGCCGGAATTTAAGAGGCTAACTTTTTGTGTTGCAGTGGGCTTTATGATCTACATACGATATGCCCAAGTTAAAGAGTGTACCAGCGTCTTTCGCTCGTCGGCCTCATTACCCAAATGGAATCATTGGGCCTTAATCTTCGGTCTATTATCGACTGTTGGTTTTTCGATCGTCGCAAACTTTCAAGAAACCTCGTTGATCGTCGTTCACCTTATCGGCGCGTTCCTCTGTTTTGGAGGTGGCACTGTGTATTTTTGGACCCAGGTACGTAAGAAAAGTAATGCGTAAGAAATAATACGTAAAAAGCAGTAACAAGACGAAATTTCATTAGTTGCTCTTGTTACTATTTCTTGAATATTTATCATTTACGAAGGATATATTACAACATTATGATAATGATCTCTTTGTTGCAGGCCGTATGTTCATTTTATTTGCACCCATTAGGATACTCATTACGACTTGCACACATTCGTACGGCATTGTCGACCTTCACTACAGTCTGCTTCTTTGTAATCGTCATCACAGGCGTGCTGGCTCGCCTGGCCTATAAGGGTTGGTTCATTGACTTTTAACCATCGCTCATATCATACGTTTTAATGTGCTAACATTAAGAATGCATTTCAGGAACAAACTCCCGGAAATGGCAAAAGGAGGACGGCGGCTGGGAGTTGCATATAACTAGCACAATAACCGAATGGCTTTGCGCGATGACGTTTTGCTTTTATATCCTGACGTTCACGGAGGAGTTCAGGGACATCCGGATAAGTCATCCAAAGGTAACTTTCGTAAGAAAACATATCAATAGTTATGTTTACGTTTCAACACAAAAGATCAAATATCGCAGCTTGTTATTTCTCATGAATCAATTATCAAAGACTTATTAATAAGCCCATTTTCATTTTCTCTACGTTTCTGCCGACAGGTAATGTGCAATATACACGGATTAAGATCGAGCAACGAGGCGTTGAACGAGAGCCAAGACTCCAGCGTGGTTCACGAGCGAACAAATCCATCTACCAATACCTGATCGCTCATAGGCAGAGGCGCCGGTGGCTACGTCAATCTCCTCTCACACTCGCCGGTCGACACACCTTGCCCCGGCTACCGATACCGCGAGTCCAGGGACAATCTGCTGGACGAGGCAGCGCCGTTGGTGGCGACGACGCCGCCGGCGCTGCGTGATGCCGAGAGAAGTCCCGATGTCCTCTGCCCGGTGCAAGTGCACGTGCACGACTCCACGGCACGTGAACGACGATGTCCCAGAGGTCATCGCGCTAAGAAGAAACGTCAAAGAGCCGTCGATAACCAGGCCACGAAGTGGATAGACCTGGACGAAAATGTTCCGCACGGTTACATTCTGATAGACGACAAGAATCTCGGGCCCGGAGTTCTCGAGATCGATAGCGAGGAAGTGCCGTTTCCTGAACACGCTGTCGAGTACGACGATGAGAACGATGACGACGACGACGATGAGGACGATAACCACGGCGACGACGACGATAACGACAGCCGTGATGAGAACGTTGGCAGCCACGGTAGATGCGAATGGTCGATGTACAAACAGTTAAAGAAGAACGTCGCAAAACGATATCGTTGTGACCTCGATCTCGGCGCGACATATCCTCTCGCAAATAGCCATGGTAACGCCTATCAGGATTCGAGCAGTCACAGCAAGTACACGGAACTGTACTCGGAATTTCGCGCCAAGAACAACCCCGACGCAAGTAATCACGACTTCGACGTGACTTTTTCGTACTCGGTGGCCAATAGCCACAGCGAACACGGTGACCCTACGACGGACGTTAGGGATCGAGCTTATAGAGAGAGCTCGGAAAGCGACAATCTGGTCTGGGACACCGGAACGGGTGCGAATTACGAGATAGCCAATAGCCACAGTAATTATCGCGTGTTCTACGACAGTCAGACGCAGCATTATGCATCAGGTATGTTGCCTCCATGGTCCTCGGAGCTATGGCCGGAGAATCGCCGTGAGGAGGATCGCGTTACGTCGGACGACTCCAAGGACAATAATGCGATAAAGCAAGATTGCGATGAACACAAAGCTACTGCGGACCAATCCGAAAAAAAAATCGGGAACGAGCAAGATTCGAATGCCTGCGACATCGAGCAATGTTTGGTGCAAATCGAGGAGAGCCTTCTCAACATTGAGCAGAATCTCCTTCACGTTCAAGATCTAGATATACCGGAGTTGAGAAACCTGCTCTACAAAAGTCCGAGTATCGAGCGGAGTCTCTTCGAGGTGCAGGATCTCCTCTACGCTGACGGTATCGTGCCGGTTATCTCCAGGAAATCCATGTCTCTCGACTCCGATGAAGAGGAAGAGGAAGAGGAGGACGAAGAGGAAGAGGAAGAAGAAGAGGTATGGGTAGGTCAGAACTTAACGATCAAGGATAACGACAATGAGGACGGAGATGCTAGCGCGCCTCTGCTAAACAGCTCCAATGAGGAATCCTCCGACACGGTGAACGTAGACGAACAGAATCCTTCGAAATCGACCGACGACCATTATGTCGACGGATCTAATGTCGTAGGAGAAGAAGAAAAAAACTTGAGTCTACAAACGTGCGCGGAGAAGACGATGAATTTCGTGCCCAACAGTCTTAACAAGACCATGCCGAGAAGAATCGTCCTGGACGAAGTCAAGGAGAATATCCGACTCTGCTCGTCCGAGTCCGAGGAGCCTACGATTACGATCGATTACAATCTGAACAGCGCGTGCGCTGAGAAGAAGTCTTTCTGCCGCGACAAATGGCACAGCAGGACGAATTCGTTGGATGAGAACTCGATCTTTCAGAACTCAGAGCTCGGCGACAAGCAAGAGAACAGTAAATCCTCGTTGCAGGATATCTTCCTAGAGTCAACGAGCAGTCGTTTGGTAACAAACGCGAAAGCGCGATCGGAGGGCACGTTGCAGACCAACCAGGATAAGTCATTGCGGCGCGATCGAGGAGGATCCCAGGAGGAACTCTTGCAGGCCGTCGAAGCAACGGCGGAGGACTTCCGAAAGAAGCTCGAGAGCTTCGCGTCGCAGCGACGATCCATGCTGGATCGCCAGAAGAAGACAAACCCCAAGTCTATTAAGGAGCTTTCGGACAACACGTCGCGATCGCGAGAGAAATCGCCGGTGAGACAAGCGAAACGCGCGACGACTACGACGACAAGCAAGACACAAGAAAAGGACAACGGTGCTGGTAAAAGCACCGGCTGCGACAAGCGGAAGAAGAAGAAAACATCGGCGAAAAGTACATCGGACAATGCTCTGATACCTAGCAAACTGATCTCACTCTCGTTGTCCTTGCTTCTCGCGGCTCTCTTACAGGCGGTCAGATGCTTGACGGATCTCGTGGAGGACGCCTTCAGGTCGGTCAGTTACGACAGAAACGGATTGCTGCAGTAAAACCGCAGTGAACTTCTTCTAAGGAAAGTATTCAGACAATGGCGCGACAGGCACTTAGCAAATGTCATCGACCGATACGTAATAAATATGTAAGAGCGATCGACCGCGTCAGGGTAACCGCGATAGGCCTCAACCAGTCCGTAATCGTCCGAAGCCGCACCCGGTATCTGTGATAACGTTATGCTTAGGGTTCCTCGATGGTATCGCGTTGCTCGCTGCTTCCAAGCACCAAGATCGAACAATTCCCGGGTTTATATTGTCAACGTGTAAACCGAGACCGGTCGGTACACACAATTCGTCGAAAGGACGTGCTGTGAAACGTGATTACGGTCGGCTCGACGGGCAAAGTAATCATGTCGACCCAATCGCGCTCCAAGACGATCTTCCGAGAAGTGAAATCTGTACGACGCTTTGTGCGAATGTACGTATTATCTCCGAAAAGCGGACACAACGAAACGAGATGCGATAGTGCGAGATAAATCCTCTTATCGATGGTGCTGTATACGGGCTAAGCGTGAACGATATTTAGTATTACGTTCAAAAGTGCCTAAACCCATCGCGTATCACATACGAGGTGTAGTACACGATACACTATTGATAACGCTATTTATGTCTACCTATATAAACCCCTTTTTCTAAGGTGTAAGGTCATTGAAAGGAAATAAAGCGAAGCGAGACGAGAAGACACGACGCTTGAAATGCGAAAATGTTTCACGTGTAAAACCTTGTTATTTTATCCATCTCTTTTTCACGATCCAAAGAATAGATCAAAAGATTGGATGAGGAGAAGTGCTAATATTATACTTCTCGAATGTTCGCCTCGAGAGAAATCTCTTGTCGACACAAGGACAGTTGGGTTAACATAAAATCTATCGTAAATTTATCATTCATCGGACATCGAAACACAATATTCAAGATATTCTCGGTATAATATTTCTATATCCACATTTGGAAGTCAGAGCCAAAATCTTCTTAAGATAAGAAGATTCAGAAGACTTAGGGAGATAAATTACCTCATTTATCGTCACTACGACGGGAAGAAAGATATTTTTTTCATGAAAATATTCACGCTTCCTGGAAGTAGAGGATATATTATTATATTATTTTCGTCTCACAATTCAAAATTATATTGAACAGAGTAATTAATGTAAAATTGAGTGTTATCGATAATTTGTAAATTAATATCATACATAATTATACCGATTAATGTTCCTCGTTCTGTCTCTAATTGATATTCAACGAGCAATTTGCCGTTTCACTCGATTCCTCATTATCCGATTGCAGATTCCCATAAAATGATCTGTACTGTATATACGTTTTGGAGTGTAAGATTGTATGCGAGGAGCGAAGGGTAGAATTCGGATCGATGTTCCATGCTTATCACGCGTCAATCGAGGTCGAAGAAACGACATAGAAACGCGGCACGAACTACTCCGAAATGTCCATTCCCTTAAATTCGAGTGTCTCGCCGTACAATCAGTTGAACATTCTCGAGTTTCCAAGTCAAGGCTATCGTTTACGAAACTTGCTTGAAATATACTCGCGTTCATGTTGGCCCATCGTTGTCGATGATGCGATAACAAGCATTTCGTCGTTAATACAAAGGACTTATGCGCGAGTAATAATAATATCCTTGTGCCAGCTTAAAGTACAAGGTATTTAGACTAAATAGGATTTGGAAAGTTACTATAGTATATATATATATATATATATATATATATATATATATATATATATATCGGTCGTACAAACTTGTGCCATTTAAATAAACATGAAACATGATAGTGTTATAAAGCTTTAGATCACGTCTAGCTTGTTTTTAAGCGTTTATAATTTTTATTACATGGATATATGAGTATATACACAAGTATATATATATTTTTTATATAAATATAAATTCTCATAATTCTTTCTCAGTAGATTTCGCATGCGAGAGAGTTAACATTATACCCAAACATGGAAAGAAAAATATAAGATCAGCGGAAACGCGTGGCATGACACTATTGCCGCAATATTTACCGTACCGCTCTATAATAAAGGTAAATAGATCGCGTGGTCGGGTAAGTTCACTTTCGAGTACATCAATCGTTTAGAAACGACATTGCCCGCGTACTCCATTGCGCTAGAGCCAGTTCCCCCGATTGGCCGGTGCCGACATAAAAACGCCATTACGAAGATGGAGTACCAGACATCGAGCGGGTCTTCCGAGACTTAATACTAAAATATACTCTCTTGCGAAAACGAAATCGGACGCCGGGCTAAATCGCACCCGTTTTCCGCCGAAGAAAAAGCCCTCTCTTCCCTCTTGAGAGACTCGGATTTCGCGAATTTCTTCCGCACTTTCTATGAAATGCGTCTACCGCAGAGATATCGCACCATTCCACATAGATACCGACCAGTGCGCTTTATGCAAATACACTGTATAAAGGAACACGTATAACGATATGCGAAGTACATTACTACTACTACTATCACTACGCTACTGCATTTTGCTTGAATCTTTTCGCAGTTCCTCGTGTAAATTCGTCATCATATCGTTATTTATATACCTTGTCGACTCAGTGAAGTACTGCAAGTATTCGTCAACTAACGCGCATAGACATAAATCTCCCGTCGCGAACTGAGTGCCGATAAAGTTGGTGGAAACAGATAATAGTTGATAAAATGGTTGCAATTTGGATAAAGTTCAAGTAGAATTCGACTCTGTTCTATTAACTGTTATCTGTTTCTACCAGGCTAACCAGCATTTAGTTCGTAATGTGAGATTTGTGCATTAATACGCGGTAGTTGAGGAAGAATGGTTGAGGAGTTTCCGTAATTGTGTCACTTGGTCGAGTCGAGAGAACTGTATAAATGACGACGTTGCGAGTGAACTACGTTAGAAACTCACCTCGAAGCCACTTCCAGGAAGTATTTTCTAGTCATTTCTATAACCACCGTCCAAACGGTACTATAGCTCAACGTAGAACATGCAAAACAAACGACAAAAGCATATAGATTAAAGAAGGTTATTTCTTTTTGAATCGCGAAATTTAAAGGTGAGAAACACCTTTGTGCACACTCTGTGAAATTCACACTTTGTAGCTCAGGTCTAGCGTCAGCTTCCTCGGCTTTGGTACAAAAGCAACGCTTTTCAACTATCTCGACGACCCTTTTAATGAACAGGCGTGAAACTGATGATCTTGTTCGTCTCATTCCCCGCTTTGTTACTCGCGACACACGCACACATGTGCACACATGTGCACGACAAGGCAATGAATAAAATATAGTAACGCTACCTTGGAGCGTTCCATATAGAACGTATGCATTCGTTTATGCATCACGTTGCGTTGCGCAACGTCACAAGAGCGGGAACAGGGTGGCTTTGTGTTTGAGTCAATATACATTGCATACCGGCTGACGAAAATCATTAGAATTTCCATAGTGTCGAGAAATTGTCTAATTGTAAGATCAATCTCCGGAACTGCGCGAACAAAGACGACGCAATAAGGCTGAACAAATTTCACTTCACTATTGCCTTTGATTTAAAACGTCGAGGACGATAATAGACTTGAGCAACATTAATCTTGCAAAAACGCACACGAAACGCACACGTTTCTCTTCAAACTCGCATAACTGAGTATCAAATGTATAACATATCACGATAAAACGTAAAGTTAGCACGCTATTTAATTCCAGTGATTTTATCACTCACTACCAACGTTCGTAACATTTTGCATTTAATGCACTGGATAATAGAACGCGATACACTGCAACGACAATTGCTCCGGACATTTCACATGAAAATTCATGATAGATACTATCAAAGCTAATCCATCTCACCGAAGTAATAAAGGTAAATCCACAGTTCAAGTCATAAATCACTTTTGCAAATTTTCGCAAGGCAAAAACGATATGCACACAAAACTGCATGTAACTGCTTAAAATGGCGAATGCACAAATTTACGTAATATCTACAAAGTTTAAGTCGGCAATCATCCAATTAAGTCATGCGACGAGAATTTCAAAACCTAAAGACCGAAAAGAGGAAAAAATTTCTTATAGATATGGGAATTATTGTTCATTTTGCGATATTATCCGTATGCGTCAGTTGAAAATAACAATATTAAGCTATTTACGGGAGATTAAATTGCCGCAGTTTCACGACGGAATCCGTTTAAAAGTTAATAGAGAGAAAAAAGTTATCAGAGAAAGAGAGGGAAAGAGCGAGAGAGAAAAAGAGAACGTAAAGTTTAACGCAGAACCATTCGACGGCGTCCATAGCCGTGATAATTCCTGCTAAATCATTGTAGACCACGATAATTTTATTTTTGACAATAATTCATGATAATTTTATTTTCTTCCTTGCAGTCGAGCGAGCATCTAATTTCTATCACGTTCCTAACTTGCTCGTCTATCGTTTTTCCGTGCCGGCTTCTCATCGGCGCGCGACGTCGCGCGATAATGACAAAAATCTTCCGACAAATTTTCATCAACCGCCGTGAAATTGAATTTCCCTTTTGGTCGGTGTTGCGGCCAGATTGAAAGCGTGTTCGCGGATCAAATCGGAACGAACATGTCGACCGACGCGCGTCGAGTTGGCGGCTGTGATTTAATTTCGGTAAGTCCACAAACTCGCCTCTGAGACCGCCGTTCGATACTTAAAAATGTCGTAGCCGATTTCCCCTCTTTTCCCTCTAAGAGGACAATTTTTATTTAAAGATGCGCCTCCCAAGATTGTTGACGTAAGAACCGCTTCAGTGGAATTCCGATCGCTTATTGATTTTATCATATGACTAGATTAAAGGTTATCATTTGCTAGGAAGGTGAGTGCGAACAAGGAAAACCTCGGACTCAACATGCAACCTTAGTAGGAGGGAAATTCCGTCGAGAGAACGTGCATACGGAAGGGAGGACGGTTAATGTTTAACTTTACACTGAGTACGCCATATATTTCTGCGAGGATGCGGGAGAGCTACACGAGCTAAAAATCATATGGAAGCATCACGACGACCATCGCGGCGCTGGAATTGAAACTTTTTACGCGTTCGCGTAAATCACACGGTTTACTGCGGCCAAAGTAGTCCCTCTGAATTTTAATTATGATATAAATTTTCGCGAACAGGCATGCGAAGGGGCGAGGAGATGGAGGGGGAAAGAAGAGAGAACATGTGGCGCGATTAAAGTAAATACTCGAGGGGCATGTAGTCTCGTTTCCGACGCGACCGGCGTTGAATCGCGCCCACAATCGTTCCCTAATGAATCTTCGAAACTTTTTTCCAATTACCCATACCATACCGATTACCAATCATCGCGAACGTAACGAATATGATCGTCGCTTCGCGTCAATGTGACAGCATGATACGTGCATTACTCTTGGGACACTCTCGGTACGCTCATGCACATTCATGCACATTGCACGACTACCGCGATAATGAATACATACTTCGTATGTATGTATGTAGGTGTGTTCTTGCAAAGGACGAATCTCATTTATAATAATATCCTACTTCACAGCTGCCGTTTTGTTCAACAGAACGTTCGTGCAGCCCGTTTAATTAAAGCTATAGCAATTCGGACAGCGGGTACGTCTAATAAATAATTTGCCTGCTACTTGATTTTTTAAAGCACTGACGGAAGCGGTGCGTGAAACGGGATGTTCAATTAAACTTTCATGCAACACGAACCCGTTAGCCCCTCGAGATTTAATCACGTTTCCATTTTCAAC